CCACTTCCTAACTTTCTCAGAGCAATTTCTCCTCTACCTTTCTGTCCCTTGCAGATCACAGATCAGCCAGAACACGTGAGTAGCAAACTCACTTTTCAGAAGAAAGTCTCTTTGACTGTGTCTACACGAGATGCTACCGTGCAGTAGCAATGAGCCACTGTACAGTAGGTCGTTGCTACCACACAGTAGCATTCCCAGACACTAATGATGATGTGACACTACTGCACAGTAGTAATGAGCTACTGTGCAGTGACAGTACTGCGCAGTAACACCAGTTACTGCACAGACATTTAGTACTTTCTTATGCTGTGTATAAGCAAGTACTAAATGACTGCACATTAACAACTGTGCAGTCTGCTGCTCGTGTAGATGCGGTCTCTAAACTCTAGACCTAGAATAAGCCAACTCTCATTGCTAAATACAGGCTATCCATCCCCTAATCACTTGCTGGGCATGTCTGCATGAGATGCTATTGCATAGTGGTTAATGCACATTTATTTACTTGATTATTTCTATAATCAAGTACTAAAGAAATGCGTAGTAACTGGATTTACTGCACAGTAGTGCTGGCGAACACCTTTTAAGTGAAGCTACTGCACAGTAGCCTTATAATATTCTGCACAGTAGTGTATTAGCACTGTTGGTAATGTGACATGCTAATGCACAGTATTATTCAGCTACTGTGCAGTTAGCATCTTGTGTAGATGTGCCCGCTGTGTTGTTGGAAAGACAGGACATTGCACCAGTGGGAAGCAGCTAATAGTAAGAGGGATGGATGGAAGGTACATGGTGGTTCTCAGCAGAGCTGAGATGAATTCTAGTAGAAAATCACTGAAGTCAAGACTCTTGGCATGGTCCTACCCTGCAGCAAACACATACCAATGCCCTCCTCAGCCTAATGCACCATAGACGGGGGGGTCTCTCCAAAACTCTGCAAATTAGTGACAGCCCTGGGGAGATAGCCAGCTTCTAGAAGTTGCTGGCATATTCACAGAGACAGACTTTTCTTTCAAAGAAGTTGAGAAAATGCAGTGGGCTTTCATTTCCCAGTAATTTTTTGCTCTATTCTCCATGTGCACACACATGCACAGCACTTCATTTTTACCTCACAAGCAAGAAGCTAAAACTCATGCTCCTATGTGCCTTTCTCCTCACCAGAGGCTCACAGTGTTCCCATTGTCCACACTGGCATCTAAAAAGCTGTTAAATTTAACATATGTAAATTACTGACCAATAAAATAAATGAAGGGCAGAATTGAAGGACCTGGGCCATTCACATGGTTGAAAACCTTTTAAAATACTTCAGTTACTGCTGTTCAAGAGTTGTAGCAATAGGCATGGAACCAGTTTTTCAGAAGGGATCAAGGGAAGCAGGGGGGCTCTACAACACATACAGTTCTATTGTCTTGAAGACAGTTAAAGCATCTCCATAGCAACTCAGAGGGTGTTAAATATGGAAAGGAGTTGTCCAGTCTCTTAGGGGAGCATGTCAGGCAGATTCACAATGTATTCATACTTCCTGCTTACCAGCCATGGCATCATAGTGGTGTAAGAAATAAAGTGGTCAAATGCCTCTCTGAGAGAATGAATGCTTCAAAGCAGATGAGAAAGAAGCTTTGTGATTTATTTCCATATATGTGAAAATGTAACATATCAGCACGATTATCAAGACAATACCTTTCACCTCTGGTCGATATTGCATTCCATCATCTTTCTTTCCCACTGAGTTAATGTCATCTGTGTCTAGAGGATAGATTCATAAAAATATATCTGTTTACAAGTATTTCTTTCCAGACCATTTGATAAAATAGTAGGAAATAATTTTTGAGGAACTACCATATTTGCTTGATTTCAAGATGATTTTCCCCCCCCATTTAACATAAGGAAAAAGGCCCTTGTCTTAGAATTGAGTACAAGGTGGCAGGGGACAGGCAGCTGCTGCCTGCCCTCCCAATTGGTTCTGCATCCCCTTCCTCTCCCCCCCATAGTCTTGGGCCCTTGGTCCCCACTGCCACCACAGCCACAGCCTCTGCCCCCCCACTCCCCTCTCCCCCCTGCCTACCCTTGCCCCAACACTGGCAGTTTCTGCCCCCTTAATGCCTCCCTCAGCACCTGCTCCCCCAACGCCTCCCCCACCACTTGCCCCCTTACCACTACTTTCCCTGCTACAGTGGTGGTAGGGATGAATTTAAGACAATCCTCCAATAATTAGATTCTATAAATAAGTTAAACATTTTCCATGTACTGAATCTAATTATTGGGGGGGAGGACAGGGGGGATGGACGGACAACATAAATTAAACAGAGGGAAATGTATTTTTCTGACAACTACATCAGCCAATTTTAATACAAAAAGGGGTCTCTTGAAGCTCTTTGTGTCAGAAGACACAATTCTACTGAAGAACAAAATTAAATCTACCTGAGCAGTGACCAAGATGTCTTATGTCAATCTGCTCCTGTCTCAGGCATGATGCTTCTCGAACAAAGCATGGATTGTTATAGGAACTTCCATCAGAAGCACACACAGGATTAAAACTGTATCCACTGCAGTCTATGTTGCACACACACCTGTTAATAAAAACACAGACAAAAATTACATTCTATGTAATACATTACTAAGAAAAAATTACATTCTATGCTTAGAGTATGCTCTGCTTATACATTAAAAATAGCATTGATACCATAGGAATTTGCAGCTTGTGGCTATCAAAGTTATTGTCATCTCAGATTTTTTATGGAAGTTACAGAGTTGTGAATAGAAACTACAGTGTACTCTTCAATCTTTACTGATGTTTTTTGGTGGGTTTAATATGCTGTAAATCTTACTGATTATTTTGCTACCTGAAAAATGATAACACATACAAAGGTTATGTATTAATAAATGTATTATTTTATTTATTAATAAAGCAATTTAGAGCATCGATTATTTTCAGGAATGGATAAAACCAAAAAGAGATTCTATACTTTTTGGTGAGGAAACTGAATGATCCTTTTGAAGAAAAATGAGCTTCCATTTCTATTAATCACTACAAAGTAGCCATCCATATTACTTTAACAAAACATTCATTCAAACCTTTGACAATTCATAACAGGTTTCACAACAGGATTATAGAATCTGGAATATTTCATATTATAACTAATTAAATACATTTTTAGTTTTCAACAAAGAGTGTTCCTTATTATTTGTAATACAGAATCATAGAAAGAAGAGTGGAAAAATCCCCGTTAAGCAGCTGATTCCTTCTCAGGCAAGGGTGAGATTATCTTTATAGCCAGGGACCTGTATAGTCCTGGGTACACTTGGTTCAAATAAGAGTTTTTGTTAAGAGTTTCATGTTTCATCAGTTCTGAATCCTGTAATTCCACATCTGTGAATGTACCATGGAAAAAAATTCCAATTCAGAAGTCCTGTTATTCTCTTGCTTATTTAGTTCAATAAAACTCATGCTGTTACTGCTAATCTAGAAAAACAAAACAAGCTATTTTTACATGCGTGTTTCTTCATGTATTTTGTCCAGCTGTGCAACTCCTTTTTTGTCTTCAGATTAAGGGATGGCATGCCACAAAATAAAGGAGCATTGCTGAATAATTGAATTTCCTAGTATACATCTGCTGCTCTTCTGCTTCTTGCATGTTGGCGGGGAGTGTGAAAGAGTACACTGAACGTTAAATCCTGGAAGACAGGGGGAATGGTTGTGGGGGAGGGTTCTTCACTCCACCATGCAATCCCTCTAGCGAGCATGAGGTTTTAATGTGGTCAGATTAGAGAGAGCACACAATATAATAATCACTGCTCACTCAAAGTCAGTGATTATCACCCAGAGTGCTGAGGCACCCTAAAGTGCCCTGAAATCCTTTCAGGAGTGCCACAGGGTGCCACTCAAAGTTAGCACTGTTACATGTATGATCAAGGGTTGCTTACAGACATAAAAAACCTCCAAATAATGGCACTTTACTTTAAACTCCAGGTGCCCCCCTCCCCACTTAGCTCAGTGCATGCCCAGAAGAAGTACTGTGTTGGTTGGACCCGGCTCACCTAATGTCTGTACAGACTGGGTGCTTCAGCAGGGCTTTTATGGTGTTTTTATCTAATAGCTGATTGAATCAGCTTTATATAAAACCACCAAAAAACCCTGCTGAAGCACCGCATCTATACAGATGCTGCGGAGTTTAGCAGAACTAACGTGCTGCTTCTTCTGGTGTACTTTACCTAGGATTCACATGAAAAATCTAGAGATTTCATATGGGAATCCATAGTTTAAAAACCATCCTGCCCTGCTACAATCTTTCTCAGTTCTTTGCAACAGAAGAATTACTGTATTACTTTTGCTTAGGCAAAGGACAAGTGAAAACTAAGAGATAACATTTTCTGAGGGGTGCCTTGAGTCTATCCTGGGGTGTCTTGAGGTTAAAAAGGTTGAGAACCACTGCTCTAAGTGGACACCGATTTCAAACATGGAAGGCTGATTTACCATGAGTTTACTGCTCTTTCATGGTCTGAAAAGACCAAATGAGAGTAACAGATACATGTGAACCTCAGGTCTAAAGCAAAACTCACATGATCACAAAAGCCCTGAAGAGATGTGGCCCCGACTAGAGCACGCTGAATGAATTACTCAGCACAACATAACATGACAAGTAACAGAGTTCCTATTACTTCCCTTAGGCAACTACTCCATGCACTAATGGGTGCCAGTGCTAGCAAGGCTCCCTGAATAAAGGTGAAGTTACACGTTACGCTTATACCATACTAACGACACTTAAAACCTGAGCTTCTCCACATTCAAGCTTATTAACTCATGCTAAGTGTCCTCTGAGTCTCAAAGTCATGCCATTTCAGGCAAGGGTTAACCCAGGGCCATGCTACCTAACTCATGTTAGGGTAACTTCAGTCTACTCCAAGGAGATAAAAACAAGCAATTTGTAGTCCTCCAGCATCCCAGGATGCACCACTCTCAGCCCCTCACCCCCACCCAGAGCAGGGATAAAGCCCAGGTGTCCTGGCTCTTAGGCATACTCCTGCTCACCAGCCCTCTAGTGGCAAGTCAGAAATGTGCAGGCAAGAAACAGTATTAATTCTTAACATGCGACTGCTCACAACATGGTTAACGCTACTTGATATATCACAGATTTTGTATGGTGTAAGTATAACATGCAACTTCACCCTAAGATTAGTAGATCTCTGAACTTAGTTACTTTGTGCCTTTGGGATTTTTTTTTCTGCCTACAAATAACTTGTGTTATTTAATAAAATGTAAGTTTATCCTGACTTTAAAGATATTATTTGTTCTAGTGATATTTACCTATATATAAACTGGGAAATGTCACTACCACCTGGAGCCTTTCTTGCATGGTACTGTAATTTTAAGCATGTGCAAAGTAATTGTAATTGTAAAACTGCCTGAATACTGTAGGCTAATCCTAACTGGCATGTATGCAGCTTCACTGCTATAGTGTGGGGCACTTACGCACAATTCAGAATTCAGCTCTGCCCACACACGTCTGTGCACATCCATTGAGTATGGTCAGTAGGGCTGAATTCTGGCTGGACTGACTGGCTGGATATTACTAATTACCTGTGGGCGCACACTTCTCAAAAGGCAATCACTCCCTCTCCGATCTCTTAGTTCTAATCCTCAAAGGGACCTTACAACACACCTTTCGTAGATGAGCCTACAAACTTTACTTCATCAATCTACTGGATACAAACATTCATGCACCTAATATAGACATTGGATTTATAGATTCATAGATTCATTATGACACATTACAACCTGCCTGACATCTGACACACAAGGTTCCCTGCCTCTAGCTGACCACATGCATTCCTTCACACATTTTCCTCCCTTCCCCCCCCTCCCTTCCTATCTCTACACATTGTCTTCCAAACTTCCACTCACTTGCATTTTCACAGATTTCTTGTTTACTTTACCTTCTTTTCCACCTTGGAGAACACAGAACAACAGCAGTCTCCCGATGCCTGGAGAAGGGTGTTTGTGCCCAAAAGCTCGCAAAGAACTTTCTTCCAACTCTTTAGTTGGTCTAATAAAAGATATCACATCTACCCAAAAAACCTTGTCTACCTATGTCCTTAGACCCACATGGCTACAACCAACAACCCAGTAAAACCTTTACTCATTTTTATATCTAATTATACATAGCAAGGGGTTATAAGAATTCCATATAATATCACTAAATACCAGGCTCACAGCTTAGCTGTTTTATGGTTCTCATAGTTAAACAGTGCTGCTAAGTGCACTTCAACTATTACTTATATAGCACTGCTCATCTTGTAACTAAGATTTGCATCATCTTCACCTTTCCTTAACCCAGAAGAACCATTTCTGTGTGAGTATATGCACACGTGGGGAACTCCTAGTGATGTGTATGTATGCCTGCACCCTCACCCCCATAACCTGCTCCACACAAACACCTGTTCTCAGACAAAAAAAATTGCATTCAGCTAGTACTACAAATGAGATGTAAGAGCCCTATTGCAAAGCCCTTCCATCACTTGTACAGTTAAAATGAATGCATTTTCATCCTTGTGGTTCCTGATGGTATGAAGCTGTTTTGTAAAGATATTTATTTTTCCTTCCTCATGGTGTTATTATAGGTGAGAGTGAAGGCAGCTTGGCAGCTGTCAGCAGCCATTTCCCTACCCCATTGTGCTTGGATTTCTTTTATGGTTAATCTTAGTTCTGAATTTCCTTAATTTGTAGGCCTTGTTTTTGGAATAGCTATAATAGTTTTTGGATTTCTGGTATTTTTTTATCCTTAAGTTGCAAATAAGCACTCTTAAACTCATCTATAATAATGTAGTTAGTATCTGGTAATATGTTTTCACTACTACTACTACTACATTTATTATTACTATTTTGAAAAAAAATGTCTAACTTTGCCCTGGACTAGACCTGGGAGTAAAGATGTCTCTCTCTAGAGCTGGTCCAGCTCTGCAGAACAGGTCATCAAGAATACAGTGGAACAATTTACATATGATGTGCAGTAGCGTAAACCCAGATTGCCAACTGCCCATATGTTTATGGACGGTCTGTAAAAAAACAGCCTAAAATTTCCATAAAATCCATAAGAAATAACTGAGCCTTTGTCAAAGTAAGAAGCCCTGAACTTGCTTCAAGATTTGCTGCCTGAATGAGGTTGCATTCACACATCATTGCTAGACAGAGACACAGAAGCAGTGTCACCTGGTGTCTATGCAGAAATGCAGCTTGGCATGCTGCAATGAAGTGTCAGGGCTTTCTGGTTCACTGGAGCCTCCATGGTTCCTTGTGGCCAGGACAGAGAGGAAGGATTGTGAGTAGGGTAGAGACATGGGAGACCATGCTGGAATGGGTAGGGGGAGCAAGGCCAACAAGGGTAAAGCTGAGGTTGGACTTGGGGAAGCATGGTGAGAGTACAGTGGGGGGATGTCATCAGGGTGTGGGATGAGTAGGGGACCCCTGTATGGGGGCAACAGAGTATAAAAACATTGTTGCGGTCA